ATAACAACCAAATAAGAAACGAGACTATTTGTTCTTAATTATTGAGTAATAGAAACCAAATTAGAAACGAGACTATTTTTTCCTAATTATTCATTAATAGAAACTAAATTAGAAACGAGAATATTTGTTACTAATTATTCATTAATAGAAACCAAATTAGAAACGAGATTATTCGTTCCTAATTATTCAGTAATAGAAACCAAATTAAAAACGAGATCATTGTTTCGATGTCTCATTTCAGCTACCAAATTTGTAACGGATTGTTCTATTCTTAATTTCTAATATTAGTGACAATAACAATATAATGGCATATTCTATTTTTCATTGTTGCATATTTGATTTACAGTAAATTTGTTTTGCATCAAATGAATTCATTAATACCACTAAAAATAAGCAAGCAAGATTAGAGAAAAATAAAACAAAATACAATTATTTTATTTCATCAATACAATAATAAAAATTTCAATTGATAAAATATCAAAGTACAATTAATACAAACTACTAATCATTTTATAACCTTAAATAAAATTTGAAGTATTTTTAACATTTGATGATTATGTCCAGTAGAACTCGCTGAGTGTTCGCCTATATTTTTAAAGCTCGACCGCAAATGTACGGCTTCGCTCGTAGTATGTGGCAAGCAAGGTCGTATCCCAAGAGACCAAATAATTAATATATCAAGTACCAGATTATGATAATGTCAACTTTATTTAGACGTTGCTATCACACTTGGTTCCTTCATTAACTCATCACAAACTTTTTTCTCTTCACTTCGTAGATAGATGGCATGACATTGCTCTTTTGGGTTCAACTCGGTATTGCTAGGAAATTGACCCCTTTGGTGCTGGCTTCCTACGGCCTTGGCCAGTTGACCAATTTGCATCTCCAAGTTTTTCATTTGAGCCTCCATTGTCGTAGCCATTGTGTCACATGATTCTCAATCTTGTCCAACTTCTCTTCATCTCTGTTGAAACGATTTCTCGTCTCATTCATGAAAGCTACCAGAATATTTTCCATGTCCATCTTCTTCTCTTCGACAATCTCGCCATTCACCACCTTGAACCACGGGTGTTGGTTGGAGCACATTCTTTGTATTTCCATAGGAAAAATTTTCATGATTCCTATTATTCAGGTGATAGAAACCCAGCACCGGATTAGGGCGATAGTTGTTGAAGTTCCGAGTATTGATAAAATTAGCCTCTCCTAAAGGATCTGGTGGTAACACATTGCCTTGTACTCCAATCATCTCATCAGCTCCTTTTGTCAAAACATTCAATTTCGTCGTCAACAACGACATTTGAGCCGCTAACTCCTTAATTGGATCAGAAGACGTCACCTCCGCCACTCGTCTAATGTTCGACCTCTCGGAAGGCCACTGATAACTGTTCACGGCCATCTCTTCCAATAAATTGGACGCTTCCTCCGGTGTTTTAGCCAATAGAGCTCCTCCAGCAGCCGCATCTACAAAGGCTCTCGTTTGGCCCAACAACCCATTATAGAAGAAACAAAGTTGTTGATCCTCCGGAAAATCATGTTGAGGGCATCTTCTCAATAATTCTCTAAATCGATCCCATGCCTCGTATAAAGGCTCCGAGTCTTGCTGCCTAAATTGAGTAATCTCGCTTTTGAGTTGCATCAACTTGCTCGAAGGAAAATATTTAAGTAAGAACTTATGATTCAACTCCTCCCAAGTATTAATGCTCCCATCAGAAATCATCGACAACCAACTCCGAGCTTTATCCCTTAGAGAAAAGAGAAATAGACGCAGCCGTATGGCATCCTCGGAGACACCATTGTACTTGACCAAATCACAAATTTGCAAAAACTGGGTTAAGTGTTTATTCGGATCTTCGGTCGGGTGTCCACCAAATTGGTTGTTTTGCACCATCGAGATATAGGAGGGCTTCAGTTCGAAATTATTCGCATTGACGGGTATATGCGCAATCCCGCCAAAATTCTTATTAAATTGAGGCCGAAAGTGGTCACGAATCGCTTGCCTCGGTTGTTCTTGCTCGTCCATTGTGCACTTTGAATTGCCCCTTCTTTTTCTGGTTGTTGCACTATTGCGTCTAGCGAATGCTTCAACTTCGTCAATCAAGGGTGGTAGTTGTACACCCTTAGAGCGAGTTATCATGCACTTCCTGAAATGACGAATATGAGAGATTATGTCACCAAAAATTAAAAAAAATAAAAAAAAATATCTAAATTAAAATTTTCACTATCTATCGTAATATTGATATAAATAATTATATTAGTCCACGGCAACGGCGCCAAAAACTTGTTCGCCTTTATTTTTAAAGCTCGACCGCAAGTGTACAGCTTCGCTCGTAGTATGTGACAAGCAAGGTCGTATCCCAAGAGACCAAATAATTAATATATCAATTACCAGATTATGATAATGTGAACTTTATTTAGACGACCAAATATGAGATGGATTAACTAAACTAAGAAAATATAATTAAAGAGAAATAAAGCAACAAGAAGAAACTAGTAAGAAAAACGCGTAAGAAGATGTATGAGAACGATAGATTCTAAGACTTTGGTTTCAATTAATAGTTGGGTTCCTTCAGAAATATCACAACCAATGTTTTCTTTATCTTCTCTATAAGATGATCACAAATTTAGCTTATCGTCCCTCTCAAGATCGATAAAACCGTAGATTAAATTACATATATTAGCGTCTACTCAACACATGCAATTCAACTCCAAATAGATTAAAAGATCTAATATCCTCACAACAACCTACTAATCTCTCAATTCAAGCAAGTAAATTGTGTCAAATATTAAAGACTTAATATTGAATTCATCTCTCAAATTATGATCAATATTGTCAAACATGTAAAAGCATTGATCAAGTGCTAAACATGAAATAAGAACAAAATATTTGAATAGGGTTCAAGAGAAAACAAACAATTATAATAAATCATCCAAAATCCCAACATATTAATCTACTACCAAGTCTTAGAATCAAATAAACTAGCCAATCATGTTCGAGTTCAAATACATAGACATATTAAAAATCGACATAATCAATAAAAGTTCAAAAGGAAAGAAGAAAGAAAAACTAGGAATCTCGTCGATCTTTCAATCTTCTTGATCCCTTTGTAGTTGGATCTTCTTTTGCTTCCCAATTGCTTCTCTTGTGTGTTCTAGGGCTCCTCTAATGTGTAATCGCGTTCCTCTTCTCAAAATAGGGTAAATATGTCTTTTATAATGTCCAAAACTCTTCTCCTTTTCAAAATAGGTAAGATATAAAAAACAGCCTGCGTGCGCGATACGGCCATTCTGCCCGTGTCACGGTCCGTGTCGCAGCCCGTGTCAGGTCCCAGGGCTTCGAATTCTCTCTGTTGAGGTGACACGGCCTCTGACACGGGCATGGTGCCCGTGTCACTGCCCGTGTCACAATCCTGCTTGCTCGTTTTTTTCCGTTTCACTCGTTTCTTCCATTTTTCTCATCCGTGCATCAATCTATCATCATCCTGGGGGTCTTAGGTACTCACCATGCGCCTCCAATAGCCAAAAGCTCTACAAATATGTGGAATTATCTACAAAACAAGCACGTGTAATACCTTTCTAACAAATAGAGAATTAAAGCACAAATATGCAATTTATACACCAATAATGCAATGAATAAACTCTAGATACTACATAAATATGGTGTAAAATCACACATGAACACTGAGCCTTCTCTCGTTCTTGTGCCGCAGAGATGAACCCATCATACATTCGCAGCTTATTCAAGTCAAGATACCGTAATGATTCCTGAGTTGCTGGTAGCTTATTCAAGTCCATCTGCAATATCAATGGCTCCTCTTTAGTGTTACATTCTTTTGTCTGTATATAATAATCAAATTATTCATCATATCATACATTGGTGAAAAGTAAAAAAAAATTGCTTTTACCGTATTCATTTTCCCATCAACTTCTCCCTGAAATTTACCATTTTCACCATAGAGAGAGGGATTTAAAATTTTTGGAGACTCGGATAATTCAAATTCAATCCTATTTTTTGACGATGCACTCAGTAATGTCAAATTGTAATTTTCCATAGAAGTATGCTGCTAGATTTCACTGCCAAAGTGTAATTTTCAAATTATAATTGCAGAGTGTTCAGTAGTTAATAGGATGGTTTTAAATTAATCTGTCACTCTCCAAGAAACTGAAAACTGGTGCTTAAAGATGGAGGAAATCCCTTAGCAAAATCTAATGTATGCCTTTACAAATGTAAAAAAAAAAAAAAAAAANTAAAAAAAAAAAAAAAATAGCTGCAGGATATGAAGTAGGATCAAATGAGAATTAATGATAAATTATAGACGTTCAATGTGATATGTCAACGATTTAGGCCAGGTCAAACGCTACTAGCCTACAACACTGATCAAGAGGCAGTGGGATTCTTGTAACATTGAGTATTAATTTGCATTTCATCAAGACATTTTGATAAATTTCAAACCTTTTAAATGTGCGGGCGGTTGCAATTTTCTAATTTCGTAAAAATACGAAAATATTTTTAATGTGTATATCTTCACGTACCACTAATATTGTCAGCTAGATAGCTCGACGGTTCACTCAACTTTCATATCGCGAAAGGGCAGTTTCAAAACTAGCTCGACTAGTGCTGGAGTTCAGTAAAGTTTGTCAGACAACTCGAGTTAAGGTAGTTGGATGATCTAACCATACTACTCAACTCTACACAACCAAGCATCGTAATTGCAAATATAACCCGACTAATTTACTAATTTTGTCTTGTCTACTATCTACAATATATAAATGAGTAAATTACAAGTTTAACTACCATAACCTTTTTCGTCCTCTTCGAATTCCGTTTATGATTTTCATCCCGTATGTTTGCAAAAGGTTACAAAATCAAAAAGGCCCTTTCCATAAACAAGGGACGAAATTGAAACATTTTTTTGACAAAAAAGACCTTTTTGTAACCTTTTTGCAAACATACAGGACGAAAATCAGAAACGCAATTCCAAGAGGACGAAAAAGTTAGGGTAGGAAGGACTAAAATTGCATTTTTACTCTATATAAATCTTGACAAGGAATCAATTGCAAAAGAAAATACAAAAACTCATCTCAAAATGTATTGCAATGAGTTCTCAGTTCATAATAAGATCGGGTACATGTTCTCAAAAATGTCTAAAATACATATATCATCCAAGTAGAATCTTGAAGAAAACTTCACAATCTGCTTTACACACACGAGACGTACAGTTCATAATGGATTGGACACGCTCGACATTTCATTTCTTAGCAAACAACTTCTTTGGGAGCATCTCCAAAGGTGTGGTTTTGAGAAGAAAGAGCCTGGCCGCCCGTTCTTGCAGTGTACCCCCACATTTCAACCCTCTCACTTGAAGTTCCGTCTTCAGCCGCTCCATGCCGAGAACCTAACACATAATTGTGACCAACAAACTCTTAAAATGCAAGAAACAAGTAAAAGATTTCAATAGCTACAGTTAACTTCTGGCTTAATACGATACACCTTGAAAGTTGTACAGATAACGCCCTAATCTTGTATCTACATAACTGATAACCCGTAACTTTTGATTGTAAGAAAGTAACAGAAAGACGAAGGCCTTCAGTAATTCTGAAGGAAAATTGGAGTTTCTCCGCTTATCCAGATAAGGAAAGCTATATGTCAAAGTTGTTTTTGTAATCAAAATCCTAAATGAAATGATTACTAGTAAAAGCTAAAGACTTTCTGCACCAATTAAAGTGAGCAATAAAAATTATCACCAGACACAAATGTACCTCTAACTCAGCAGCTGAGTGATATTCATCGAAATTCAAGGGCTTGTCGATGTCTCCAACTTCGACACTCACAAGCACTGCTGCTTCCATCTGAACTGGTTCAGTTATGGTACTATTGCTCACTTTTGCAGCAAAAAAAACATTCTCATCTGAACCAGAGCCACCAGGTAGCAGACCATCATTTATTTCTTGACGAGATTCATTGTGAGTATCATCAGGCAACTTGTTATCAGTGTCACCATCATCATCATGTACACACACCTCGGTATTTTTATCCTGTTCAAAGGATTCTTCACCAAGTCGACCAATGGTGGTTTCTTCTTCCTCAGAGCCACTATGAGACAAGTCCTGATGAGGTTTCTCATCACTAACCGAACCTGAACTTTGGTCACCTTTTTTGATAGAATCAGAATGATTTGCAGTATCTATGATAACAGATTTCTCATCTTCTCCTTTGTCTTCTTCGTCGCTATCATCTTCACTGTCACTCTCACCCAATTTTCTCTTACCATACCTTAAAAAGAAAAAGAAAAATGAAAACAACCACTCATTATACGGTGAATGCATTAAATTGTAATATATTGTGATTTATGATTGAGAAGCATCTTGGACCAAGAGAATATAAATACACAATCCAGCAGTCAATGAAAAACAAAAAGCTCCTGCCTTTATAAACAAACATTATGCTCCTAAACCATATTTTTCACAGAACAAACAAAAAAACCACAACAATCAATTCTTACAAACCAGAGTTGGTCTTAGTTATCATTACAATTTCATCAAAAACATTATGCTATACAGGAAAATCAAACTGCAATGCCCATTATTTGTTTCTTTCTTTAAATGATCAACATAAAAACTTTCAAAGCCTCATAACACATCAAACATGAAAAAGTATAATTCACCACAAGATTTCAAAAAAGAAAAAAAAAAGAAGAAAAAAATCACGTACCATATCTTCAACCTCTTGGAAGAATCTGATCCGCCCCCCTCCGTGCTTCCCTTCCTTTTCGAGCTAACCAATCCCTTGACGGACTCTCTAACGGACCTCTCAACCTCCTCCATACACTTAGCGGAATCCTCTCTGTACTTGGCCACATACTTATCCGTGCTACTGCCCCCACCGCCCTTTCCGCCTTTCATGGCCTCCTTCGTCTTCTTCTTAATGAACTCCTCTGCCATCTTCTCCAACTTCCTCTCCTCGGCCTCCGCCTTCCACTCCTCGAGCTTCTTCTCCGCGTTCACGTGCCTCAGCCTCCGCCCGCTCATATCCCTGCAAGCATCGAAATTGTTGGTCTTCTTCTGCCCGGCCTTGGTCGCCGCCCCTCTCAGCAACGACCCGAACCCTCCTTTCCCTCCCCTGAGCCTGAGCAGAAGGTTCACACTCACCGGGAAATTCCCAGAATCCCCAACTCCGCGATCTAGGGTTTCCAGCAACCGGAAATTCTCGCGCGATCGATCGAGGTTTAGGGTTTGGTGATCGCGAAGGACCCGGGAGCCTTCGAATAGTAGGAGATGGAGGTCGGAAGGTATGGAGGTAAGCGTCTGAATACGGCGTTTTAGCGCCGCGACGGTAATCGAAGGGGCTGCGAAATTCAAAATCCGGTGCTTCCCATCGAGCAATTTCACGAGCACCTGGTGAATTTCAGATTTTTGAGCTTCCATGGACACAATACTAAAGCTTTTGATGAAAAGGCACAGCAATTTGTTGGTTTTCTCCTTGGAAGCTAACGAAAAGGAGGAGGTTGAAGATGGCGATCCGATTCCGATCCTTCTGTGTAGATGAATATTGAAAACTGCTGAAAGGCTGAAACACATTTGTTTGGGCTCGGGCTCGCTTGTTGGGCCAGACTACTTTATTTTTAATTTTTAATTTTCTTGTACAGTTGTTGACCCACTGGGCTATT